CTCCAAGGACACCTAACTACCTAGTTTCCTAAACGGGCCAAGCTATTTTGGGTCTCCAAACCTTTATTCTGCTGGTCCCACTGCCTGCCATGTGAAATCCCCTCCCCACAGTGTTTTCGCATTCCTTACAGTCCAGCTCCAGAGTCACTAGGCATGGAGCTGGCAGGTGTGAGGACAGCGCATGGCAACAGTGTGTAGTGGACAACAGTGGCAGAGAGGCAGGAAACCTGCCTGCTGAATCGTAGAGATCCTATTTTTAGGGAAGACCACAGGGTTAAGACAGCAGTGGCGGGCTCAGAGGTGAGGTTGGGACTCAGGGATCAGGCTGTTTTTAGGTTGTCAGAGGTTATTGATTTTGTGAGAGGTGGGCTTCTTAAACTTGGGCGTGCATCAGAATTATCTAGGAGCTCATTAAAAAGTCCCAGGTAACCAACCAGAGTGGCTAAAATGAAAAATACTGACAAAACCAATTGTTGGTGAGGATGTGGAAGAACTGGGGAGCTCTCAAACAGTGCTCGTGGAAATCTTAAAATGGTGCAACCATTTTGGAGAACGATCTACCAGTTTCTTATAAATTTAAACATATACTTATCATATGACCCAGAAGTTCTGCACAAAAACTATTACATGATGATTAGAGCAGCTTATTCTTAATAAGCCAAAACTCTATAACAACACAATGACCACTAAATAGTGGATAAATAATCATGGTATACCACACAAAGGAACACTAATTCCCAATTAAAAGGAATGAATCAATGATATATGCAACAAAATGGGAGAATCTCAAAACATAAGCCAGATACAAAATAATGTATTATTCATGGTAACTTATGATTCTATTTTTTACAAAATTCTAGAAAAGGCACTAATAATGGTAACACATAGCAGATCAATGAACGCCTGGAGCCAGGAGTTTGTGGGAAGGGGTACTGAGTTCAAAGGACACGAGAAAATGTGTTTTGGTGATGGAAATGTTCTATACCTTGATTGTGCAGGTGACTACAGAGATGTATGCTTTCATCAAAACTGATTGCCTTTGGGGCACCTGGGTGGCTCAGTGGTTAAGCCTCTGCCTTTGGCTCAGGTCATGATCTCAGGGTCCTGGGATCGAGTCCCGAATCAGGCTCTCTGCTCTGCAGGGAGCCTGCTTCCTCCTCTCTCTCTCTCTGCTTGCCTCTCTGCCCACTTGTGATCTCTCTCTGTCAAATAAATAAAATCTTAAAAAAAAAAAAACTGATTGCCTTTGTACTTCAAATGAGTCTATTTTATTGGTTATAAATTATACTTCAATAAAAGTGACAACAAATAAATGATTCAGGTCCTGTGAAAACTCTTGACTTAAATTCTCTGCAAGCTGGGTCCAGGGCATCAGTGTGTTCAACAGGCCCAGCAGGTGATTCCAATATGCTCTAAGTTTGCCAATTTTCGGGTTGCCATTTTACTGGGCTGGTTGAAAACACCGCAGCCATAGCTCTCTCCAGCTATCGACCTTGGCTTTTGGAGAGTTGTGGCATCACACTCCAAAGAGACTTCACTAAACTAGAAGAAATCTTTTAAGTTCACACAAGCGAATCCCCTGCATCTGGGCAATTCTAGCTACAAATCTGCTCCTTGGTTTCTATCTAGCCTAACTGCATGCAGGAGAAGATTCCAGAGTCTCCTTGAAATGGGCTCTGGAACGGGCTTCAGACTCGGGAGTCCTCAATAGGGAACACCTCCAAACAACAACCCAACGTCAAATCTACCCACAGGGAGCAAAGGAGCTCCTCCTCCCCCAAAGTCCCTACTGGAGACAAGTAATAGTGCCGTCCAGTCTGTATTCCAGAAGCAGCGCAGAGTTTCTGAAGTTACTTACTCATCTACTCATCCATGCAAATTGAGATAGTTAGGCATTAGACATGCTTACATGCAACCGTGGCTGATTTTTAAAAAGTCTCAACAGTTTTAAAGTTTAGATTTTAAGAGTCGGACAGTTGGATTGTAGAAAGTTACAATTTTTACCTAAAATACATACACCACTTCAGGAAAGGATGAGTAATTCTGTGTCTCTGAGGTTTCTCAGGATGGGTTTGGGAGTTTAGGTGTAATGCAATCCGTGACACTACCTGTGATAAAACACCTCTCCATGTCAGTAACTAGCACCCCAGGGTTGCTGCCACCTGCCTAATTGTATAAGACAGCTTAGGACACGGGTAGCATGCTGTAATTTGGAGAGCAATGCATTATGGGTTAAATTAAACTAACACCCAAATACTACTAATAAATTATGGCTAAGGGCAGTAATGGATATTATACTGTCTTCAGGGGTAGAAATTTTACCTTCCTGGAAGCTGACTGCTTTGTCTTGATCACAATTGCTGTTCCTCAGGAACCTGCATTAATATAACAAATCACTGGATAAAATAGAGCCCGTGTCACAGAGCGATTGCTGCATAAAGAACAGCTTGAACAGCTTGAATCGCCTGACAATGTCAAAGAAAATTCAATACCTAAAAGTCAGGGACTTTCCCAGGATGCTCAGGAAGATTATTTTTGGTATTATTGCTGTTATTTTTGTTAATGTCTTCAAAATTTTAGTTCAGTTTTAAGGCAGTCTGATTCTATACAAAAAGTCTTGCTCTAGATTTTTTTTCATTAAGTAAACCTGGAGCGTACAGAGCAGATCAACATTCCTAAATAACGTGAGACAAAATTACGTGCACTATACACTTCTCAGAAGGACGGAAATGGAACCAAATTTCCTTAGATCACTGTATCTCAGATACATCTAGCTTAGAACAAAGAGGGAAAGGCTTTGGTGCCTCAGGAAAGCAAGTGAGAACATCTATCACTTCCTAGCAACTGTGTCTGGGCCTGGGGATGAGTTTTGTTCCTGGAAAAACAGTAACGTGGCATTTGTAGTGGACATCACAGTAATACCACTTAGAGAGCACTATCTGTCGTGACATATGCCTCGGAGTTAAGAAGATGCTTGAAAGAATGTACATGAAGCACTTGGTACAGCTCTCAGGGTACCATAGAGCTTAATAAAGGTTAATTACCACTAGTGTCTTTTTCTCCATCAACCCTGTTTTAGAAATAATGAAATTGAAGATCACAGAGACTCCGCAGCTTGCTCAGGCTCATAAAGTAGTTAAGTATCATAATAGGATCTTAACTTACGTCTGAATGGCTCTAAATCCGGAGTTTTACCCAGTCTCCAGCACTTATTTTCCTCGATACAGAATTACTCTCCTTGGTGCAGATAAATTACTAAGATCTTGGAAACAACTCAGAGGTCTGTATTTATTTATTGCTGCATCTCCGGTTAGGGTACCTGAGCTGACTGAAGATAGCTCGCAGGCTGACAGGTGCATGGGGGAGGGGCAGGGCTGTGTCAGGCTAAGGGATGGCTTCGTGTACAACCTTTCAGAAGGACCTGGTTCCGCATCTTCTCCGAGCCTCCTGTTCTCAATCGAGGTAGCTTTCACTATGCAGACTATGCACTATGCAGATATGCACATACGCTCTATGCAGGCAATATGCAGAACATAATGCCATCTATGTTGCTAGAATTTGTCCTATCGCTCCAGGGATCTTAGGACACATGTTCAAGTTTTCTAATGACTTGTTGCATAGTTTCTCCCAAGAAAACACATAAGGTGTCTAAAGTCAATTATATTTAACGTGATCTTTTGGTAAGGAAAGACATTTCACCTGAGTGATGAAAATCACTTATTTCATCTACAATTGAGGACACAAATACACCTGTGCTGGAAAAGTACTGCAGAAACCGAAAATGCGCACGGCAGCACTGAGATGGGTTCTGTTGCTAGGGTGTCTGTTGATGCATAAATAGATAAGGACTGCAGAAAATCTTATTAATAAAGTTGATGTGTCTTTGGTTGACTGGCCAACTCCGGCTGCCTTCAAAATCATTAAACTTCAGACCAGGCTTAAGATTTATTAAGAGATCTTGCTGCCTGATAGTCTGTCTAGGGCTATTCTTTTTTTTTTTTCCTTAAAATTATTTATTTATTTGAGAGAGAGAGTGTGTGGGGAGGGGCATAGGGAGAGGGAGAAGCAGACTCCCCACGGAGCACGGAGCATGGAGCCCAGCACAGGACTTGCTCTCAAGACCCTGAGATCAGGACCTGAGTTGAAATCAAGAGTCAGATGCTTAACCAGCTGAGCCACTCAGGTGCGCAGGGCTATTCTACTAACAGGTGCTGCTGACGTATTTGGGCACGGGGTCCATTTCCAGCAACCAAAAGTTTTGAGAGAAACTGAAATCAAGTTTAGTATCATTCAACCACAACAAGAATGGAACAGAAATTAAAATAGAAAACTCCCAGATACCAATGATTTCCTCCTAGACCATTTAGACAATTGGCATGATAGAATAATTGCTTTCAAACACAGGAATCCAGGGAAGAACATTTTTGTTCTACATGAAAGCACTGTTGATTCTTCATCACTTATCCTCATCGTCCCAGCTGTCACTTACTGACCACTGACCACACGCGAGGCAACCGTATTTAAGCACCGTGTGTCGCATGTAGTCCTACCAAAACTATAAAATAAGCACAACTGTTATCTTTCATTCTACAGGGAGGCTCCTGAGGCTTCAAGCAAGTAACCTGCCTATGTTTATGGATTAACAAGTGGCAAAGCTGATAATCAACTTAAGTCATCTGTTTCCGAGTCCGTGTGCTCACTGTGATGGCAGACGTGATGCTCTGTACTTTCCTTCAACTCAGTTCTGATGAAAGTTCGCTGAGGTAAGTAGCAGCAGGGATGGGGCACAAACTCTGTGCAGTTTCCCAATTCTCTCGACCACCTGCTTCTTGCCAAAGGCCTCTCTCAGACTGTACCTCTGCTGGTACTTTGCTGGTGCCCTGGCTCTGCACTCCCAGTAGCCGGGAGTCCACACCATGTATGCTGAGCCTTGTCTTCTGTCATTCCCCTGTACTTCCGCAACACTGCAGAGCACTGGATTTGGATTCCTGAGTACTCACCAAGAGGCTGCGTGATCCAGCCCTGAAGCTGGGGAGAAGCTGTGGCCAATGAGGTAAACCTTGACCAACAGGAGACATGAAATAGGAAAGCACTGAGCAAATAGGTTCCCCTCCTCTCTCCTCCCTGCGAATGGCTCTGAGATGTGGTTTCTGATCGTAAACTCTGTGGCGAATACCCCTGTTGAACAGCTTGTCAGGTCGTGACCAGCAGAGCTGCACACTGCAACACATTTTCTCACCTTTGCCTTGCCTGCCTCACTTCCCTTCTTCCTTTTACCAGCGTGGCTCTAGGTTTGTGCTTAAATAAAGCTTCGGCACTTTCATCTCTGCCTTGGGTTCTACCTTCTGGAAGTCTAGGGCTGAGGAACAGTGTTGTCCTAATTTCACATCTAAAAAAAATGGGTTTCAGGAAGTGGCTTGCCCTAGATAAGGCAAACTCTATGGCAGAAGCAGCCTTTAAACCCAGCTCCAGCAAACTCGAAAGCCTAGTGTTGAGGGAGTTAACCTGACTAGACACTAGGTAGTTGTACTGTTCAAAGCAGACAAGGGTCTAGTAGGGTGATAGGGGATTCACATATATTCCCTCAGTCCTGGAACCTGTGTTCACAAGTACCACACCACCACACACTCACACACACACACACATACACATACACTCTCAAGGAGCAAATTCAAGTCGGAGGGACAGTCCTCTTTCTTCTATTTCACTCATAACTTTTTAAATTGCTCCTAATGTTAGTTGTAAAATGTTTATGATATATTACATCTTATGATCTATTTCCAGTTTTACTATTTGTTGGGGATCATCTACATGCAGTCTACTGGGCAAGCCACTCAATAGTTTTCTGAATCCAATGCCACTAACATTGAAATTGGGCAGAGGAGAGCCCATAGTCTGATTAGTTCAAGGCTAATCAAGAACCTTCCAAGAGCAGTCCCTTCTCTGGAACTCTAAGTAATTAGACAAGGGTCTTTCTCTGGATTTGATAGTATCTACCCCCAACCTTAACTGGGACACACAAAAGTATGTCCACTATTATCTCAAGGTATCCTAAGAGACAGAGAACATTCTCTTGAAAAATGTCCAAGCAAAGTAGCCCCAATTAAAAAAAAAATTTTTTTAAAGAAACAAATGTATGCCATCCATCACTTTTAGTTACAAGAGGCATTAGATAAAATCCAACTAAATAAAATGGGATGCCTACATCCTCAAATGGCCAGAGTAATGCCTTTAAACATCTAGGAAATCACCAAAAATTGTGTATCTGGCCAATGAATATAAAAACTGATTAAATTCATTCCCTGGAGAAACTTACTAGAATCAACACTCAAGGATTAGGCTTCAAATGGTCAGCTCCCTGAGGATACAGAAAGGTGCCGTGTTATCTTCTGTAAGCAGAGCCTTTTGAAATATTGAGTGAAACAAGGAGCATCAGCTTATCTTTGAATAAGGTAAATGCACAAAATGAAGGAAGGGCTGAATCACACCGTAGAACAAAGAAGGAACCCTCCTCTTGCACTTCCCTTCCCCCTTCCTTCATCCAGAGGGATGGGCATCTCTCCATGGGCAGTAGGGTGTGCCCATCTGGTTTAAACCTCTGGAGACAGGTCTAAGTGCCAAAAGGGGCTGCTCTCAAGGTATTGCAAAGGGTATTTTAAAGACTTCTTTTTTACTTAGAGTTTTTGCCAGCAAGAAACTCATCTTTATAAATATCTTTTTTCCTGTTTTTACCCTCTTCTCTCTAGGACAGTCAAGGCAGAATTCCTATGGTCCTCCCCTTCTAAATGGAACATTCAAGGCTGAGGAGGTTCTCAGTATGTCCCCTCTAAACTAGTGTCTTCGTTTGGATTTCTCCCAAAAGAGGTCCTGAGACAAAGATCTGAGTACTGTACAAGTAGTTCATGTGGGTGGTGATCTTGGGAGTCGAATTAAGGAGTGGGGACGTGAAATAGGAGAAGGGAGAAAGCTAAAAACTTGTGCACTGGTGAATAAGTTACTATTGTAGGCACCTGAGGTATAATTCCCCTGGGAAATCTGAGAAATCATGTGGAACACACATCAGAACCACACCCCTGGAGGACAGAGAGACTGGGCATTGCCTACCAACTCCCATCCCCCACTGGTGGAGGGTTGCTCCCACAGCATGAGCTCCCCTGCACTTCCAGATTACTCCAGGCTACTTGTGGACAGTAGGGAGTGAGCAGGAGAAACCCCTCATGCAAAGAAGTGAGCTGCAGATGCTGGAGGAGGGAAGCTGCTGGTCTTCCCCCACAGCTGCAGGGAGATTCGAGCTGGCTGGGGGATATGGGACAAGGCAACTACTTTTCATTTACTCTTCTAAAATATGCTCCAAAAGTTCTTACCAACTGAATGTTTATAAGCAGGGAAGAGATAGGTCAAAGCAGTGGTTTAGGAAGAGTAATTCTGCACTGTACATGGATGAGTCAAAGCAGGAGAAGATGGGAAGGTGAGGGCCCATCTAGAGTCTGTTGCAACAGTTTTTATAGTACGAGCTTATAAAGTCTAGATTTGAGATATCCATGGACATGAAAAGAAAATGCCCACTGGAAATGAACTGGCTGGGGAAGGCAGAGAAGGATGAGTTAAGGGAGAAAGTGTCAACAGTCATTCTGAAGATTTAGTCTGGAAGACTGGAGAATGGTGCCATTATAAGTAAGAAGGTTGGAGGAAGGACCCCTGCCTGGGAGGTTGGGGGCAGGATGGGGAAGTGAGGCAGGAAATCAACTGTTTGAGATGTCCTGTTTGTGCTGGTAGAGAGACATACAGGTGGAAATCTTCAAAGAGCAGCTGAAAACTTCGTTCAGTGTCAGGGAAGAATAGTTCACAGAAGGTAATGAGTAGAGTCAACTTCCTAGGGGCAGGAGAAGATGAGATCAATGCCATTTATTGTTTTGATAAAAACAATAGAGTTTTGGAGAAAAAACCCAGACCGTGGGTCTTTCACTGGCTAGTGAGCGACGGTGCCCTCAGCCCCCTCATTCGTACCCTGGAGCTACTGATAAAAGCAGCACTGATGGTGGGCATCCAGTCCACACGGGTGGCTCCCTTCTCTCGCACATCCTATAACAAGATGTGGCTTTCTGATCAATTGTTCTCAGTTACATGAGTGCCTGGAAATGATTTTGTACCATTAGCTACCTGTCCCCAAGTGTGCCTCGGTATCTCCATGGGCATGCCCAGCCTGTACTGAACCTCCATTTTTCATTCAGTTAGATCACAGTAAAAATGACTTACACCTAACATGCTTCTCACATTATCCTAACATTGTTTGATAATTTTCCACCCCAGACAGTCCTCATTACTTATTACCCCCACCTTGGGGTAAAAACCTTTGAAAAAGACTTTATTCTCCCACCTGGCCAAATTTCTATTGAATTTATTTTTGAACCACATTTTAGTTCTCTGAATATTTTATTCTTCAGTTCTCTATCTTAAAAGCCTCAACAAGCGTGCCCTATCTTTTGTTCCCACCCATAAGAAGGACAATGAATGTCTATAGTTCCCTTTATCATTAAGACAGAGTATCTATTTGACAGTCCTTTATCACATGAGAATTTGAAACCAAGAGATAAGTTTTTTAGACAGAAACACTTCCCGCTGAATAGCAATGGGCTAGTATCCAAGCAGGGCCTAAGGGCACGTCTCCAAAAGGCCGATGGCAAATAACCGGCTTTGTATAAGTAACTCAACCTGATAGGACATCTACTAATGCCAGGTCTGGTTCTGTACTCTGCCAGAGCAGAGAGCACTCCTACCACCATTTCCAACTATGAAGTATCCTCGACAGGAAGAACACTCTTATTTTTAAAATGATGCTTGTGTATATGTGTGTAGGCTGAGGTTCAGGTGTGCTGCAGTGTCCCACGCAAGCTGGCATTAATTCTTGCTGGTTCGTAGGTACCGCTTTTAACAAGTCATTATTACTGTATTGATATATGTTCAGCCTCTGAGCCAAACTATACCTCTTAGAAGATGAGAGACACCTACTTCTCTAAAGTAACATCATTATACAAGCACTGGCTGTTAGCGCAACTGATGAGTTATTGAACATGACATCTGAAACTGATGTACTATACGTGGGCTAACTGAATTTTTAAAAAAATTTAAACAGTAACTTCATTATGTACTTACTATTCATTGAGTATTATATTATTATATAGCAGATATTGAAATTACTTTTTTAAAATTATATCACGTTAGTCACCATACAGTACAATATTAGTTTTTAACATAGTGTTCCATGAGTCATTGTTGGCACATTAACACCCAGGGTTCCATGCAATCTGAGTCCTCCTTAATACCCATCACTGGGGTAACCCATCCCCCCACTCCCTCCCCTCTAAAACCCTCAGGTAGTTTCCTGCAGTCTATAGTCTCTCATGGTTCATCTCTCCCTTTGACTCCCCCACTTCATTTTTCCCTCCTTTCTCCCAATGTCCTCTGTGCTATTCTTTATGTTCCACATATAAGTGAAGCCATATGATGACTGTCTTTCTCTGCTTGGCTTATTTCACTCAGCATAATCTCCTCTAGCCCCATCCATGTTGATGCAAAAGTTGGGTATTCATCTTTTTTGATGGCTGAGTAATATTCCATTGTGTATATGCACCACATCTCCTTTATCCATTCATCTGTTGAAGGGCATCTTAGCTCCTTCCACAGTTTGGCCATTGTGGACATTGCTGAAATTACTCTTTTTTTGAGAGTTTTTAAAATCTTAATTCAATTAGCCCACATATAGCACATCATAACTTGCATATATAGTGTTTAATGATTTATCAGTTGCATATGACACCCAGTGCTCATCACATCACATGCCCTGCTTAATGCCCATTACCCAGTTACCCCATCCCCCCACCCACCTGTCCTCCTATGACCTCAGATTGTTTCCCAGAGTCAAGAGTCTCTTGTGGTGTGTCTCCAACTCTGATTTCTTCCCATTCAATTTTCCCTCCTTCCCCTATGATCCTCTGCACTGTTTCTTATATTCTACATATGAGTGAAACCATATGATAATTGTCTTTCTCTGACTGACTTATTTCACTCAGCATAATATTCTCCATCTCTATCCATGTTGATGCAAATGGTAGGTATTCATCCTTTCTGATGGCTGAGTAATATTCCATTACACATACAAACCATATCTTTTTCTATCCATTCATCTGTTGAAGGACATCTCTGCTCCCTCCACAGTTTGGCTATTGTGGACATTGCTGCTATGACTACCCTACGACACAGCAATTTTATTACTGGATATTTATTCTAAAGATACAGATATAGTGAAAAGAAGGGGCACCTGCCCTCCAATGTTCATAGCAGCAATGAAATTACTCTTTTAATTTTCATAATAATTCTATGAGGGTGTATTATTAACTTCACATTATAGGTGAGGAGAGTTAAGTAATATGCCCAATGCTATCAATTAGCAAAGGCAGGGTGGGAATTTGAATTTGAGTATTCTCAGGCAGGATCTCTTTCTATCCTGATTTTCATTAGGGATCAGTAATGTTTGCTAAATGAGTGAATGAGTGAGGGATTTTAAAACCCACACCCTTAAACTTGATGTCATACTGGACCATTTTATAGTCATAATAATAAGCCCAATACCTTGGACATTGTGTATGTTCCCTACATGTAAATAGTTGACAATTATACAAAACCAAGAATTGTCTTCAAAAAAAGGCAGCACAGAATAGGTAAATAGACTGTGGTATATCTAGACAATGGAATAACTTTTAGTTCTAAAAAAAAAAGAGCTATCAAACCATGAAAAGACATGGAGGGCACTTAAATGCACATTACTAAGTGGAAGAAGCCAATCTGAAAAATCTATATACTGTATGATTCCAAATATATGACATTTTGGTAAAGGTCAAACTGTGAAAATGGTGAAAAGATCAGTGGTTATGATGGGGGGTAGGGTGGAGGAGGAGGAAGGGATGAACAGGAAAAGCTCAGAAGATTTTTAGGGCAGTGAAAACATTCTGTATAATACTATAATGATAGAGCCATGTCATTATTTATGCGTCCAAACACATAGAATGTACAACACCAAGAGTGAACCCCAAGTAAACACTATACTTTGGGTGACTATGATGTCCATGTATGTTCATCAGTTGTAACAAACTACCAATCTGGTGAGGGATGAATTTTGCTGTGAACTTAGAATTACTCTAAAAAAAAAAAAAAAAAAAAGACTTTTTTTTTTAATGGGGTGGGCGATTATAGCTGAAAACCAAGAAATACATTACTACCTAATTCAATTGACAAATTTTCAGCTAAATTATATATATATATATATATATATCTCCATTAAAAGAACCAAGCTTTTGGGTGATAGTAGGTTTCTTTTTCTTTCCTGTTTTTTTTTCTCTTGGGAGGAGTACAAATTAATTCAGTAGATTAGGAGGGAAGATCAAGTACAAAAGCAAAAAAAGAGTATAGCAGAATGTGACCATATGGAAAGAGCTAGACGTTTCCTCTTTTGTCTTTGGCACAGCACAAAGGAAGGGCTCAAGTTATAATTACTTCTATTTTTTCAAATTTCACCTCTTCTATTTTTTACCACTATCCATCATCTATTTGTTTATTTGCTCAATCCCAGTAAACATTTATAGTGATGTCAGAATTGTTGACCTGTGCTCCCATGAGAAACAACTTTATTCACTACAGTACAGTGCTTCTGTATAGTTCCTTTAGTTCTTAGTCTCAGATTCTCTACTCATTTCCTAAATTATTTGGGTAAATTTTCCCCCCGTTCCCATCAATGAAATTATGTCATACATCTGTAACACAGATTTTTTAAAAATAAATTTATACCCCCGCACCCATGAAAAAATTTTTTGAATAAATTCTTTAAAAAAAGTAACACTGAGGGACAAAACCCACTAAGTTGAACAAACAGATCAAGATCATATGACCTGTGTGTTGCAAAAACCTACACTGTGCTCTGTTCATCTTTATAACCACCATTATAAACAGTTGGCCAACTCCATTCCTCAAGTCAAAATCTGAACTTGGAGCGCCTGGGTGGCTCAGTCGGTTAAGCGACTGCCTTTGGCTCAGGTTGTGATCTCTGGGTCCTGGGATCAAGCCTGGTGTCCAGCTCCCTGCTCAGCAAGGAGTCTGCTTCTCCCTCTCCCTCTGCGCCTCCCCCTGCTCATGCACGCTCACCCTCTCACTCTCTCTTTCAAAGAAATAAATAAAACCTTTAAGAAAAAACCCTCTGAACTCAAATAGGCCACACTATCAAGAACTGACCAAAAGGTGTATAGATCAGCTTGGCTTCCGACCATTAATATCAACACACTAGGATCTGCAAAGATACCTTATTGTGATCAGGGCATGGTGCTAGGTCCTAGGGTTGAGTTCCAACCTTCCCATCCACAGTGTGGGTTCTGGAGTATACTCCTACAATATCTAGGATACACTGCTGCTGTTTTCCTTCCCTGGGACTTAAATGATAGCCCAATAAGCCAATGAACACCTAATACCCGCACATCATATTCCTTGATGTTAGAAAGCTGCAGCAGCAGTGTATCACTGATATCTGGCAGGTGGATCCTTCTGTCCGCCACCCGAATGCGTGCCAACATTGCTCCAGAGCTAAATAACAACAAGGAATGAAAACCCATTCACTCGTGGCTCTGTACTACCTGTTTTTAAACAGTTACCTCTTCTTAACTCGTCTCTCCTTCTACCAAGCAGATTTTTCTAATTGAGGTTATCTCTGGAGTTCATTGTCGAGTCCATTTTAATTCCTGCATTCCCCTATGAGATATTCATTCAAAATGAATTGCTATCCTGTCAGTTACATAGCTCCGCTCCTGGCATGGGAATTGTATTTCTTTAATGGCTTTATTCCTCTAAACATATTCTTTTTAGAGGTCTCCATTATCCTGCAGTCCTTAGAGGGACCCACTGGCAATGGCAGAATAGGGCTCTTTGCTGCCTAGAGGCTTGAGAAACGAATCTGAAATATTTGAAAACTAAAAAAGCTCCCGAACCGATGTGTGTCCTGGATTGACTGTTACTGGGCACCGAGCACCAAACACAACACAGAATGGCAATTATTCTTCCCGGCAGTTAGGGTGCCAAATGAATTTTTTTTCTGCATTTAAAAATGGACAGAGATTTTTAGTAATTGAATGAAATAACGTACAATAATTTAAAATATTGTTCATTCAGAGAGAAATTAGGCTTTAATTAAATGGCATCACTTAATATACCGTCCGGCAGATACTATAATTGGTTTCTTTAGCAGAGAGCACTGTAATACCTAAGCTTTACTCAAGTGCTAATGGTACGAATGTAGCCCAGTGGATACATAAACAGCCTGGCCACTTCTGTCACCCCCAGGGAATGGGAAGTGAGCTTTGATCATGACATCTGCACAACTCTCCATCAGTCATTTCTTTCTGAAATAAAATTATTAATCACCCAGACTAAACAAACGCTGTTTACATTAAACAGGTATGATACCCAGGACTTTCAGGGGTATTAAGCTGTTCATTTCTATGGATACAGAAAGGAGGGTTATCATCAAAGCGGTTATGCAATTACATTGCATTTGCGCAGGGAGCATGGCATTTATTATTCTTAAAACCTGGTATAAATGCAAACCAGCACTCCCCAGTTCGTTCAGGGAGGGCAGACAATTTTCTGGCACAACCACAGTTGTGTATTTTAACTATCTTCTGTTGGTCATTTACAAGGACGTTTTCATTTCCAGGCTTGGCTTCTGTTTCCTCATGGCTCATTCTCGAAATGTGATACAATAAGGTCCTATTCTCTTCAAGCCATTCTGCTTGATAATTCTGAACAAAGCCAGAAGGGGATGGGGGTGGGGTGGGGGAAAATTGAACTGAATCTAAAAGAGGGGGAAAAAAATCGCCTTCTAAAGTCTAATGCTCCCAGACAAATTAAAAAGTAACCAGAGATTAGATTAAATTCCTTTGCTAAATTCTTTGTTTTCAAAAACATATATGCTGCACCTAGGGATGGAAAACTTTCACTTCCCTGTTTGCAAATGACCATCAACATGTTTATTTTGGAAAAGAATAGAAACATTGATTATAGCAAAGAGCCGGCCGGGTGGCAAATGTCAGCAAAACAAGCTGGCTCTATCGCTGGGTGGGGAAAGGGAATTGGCAACCGCAGGATGGGGTTCTGGGGTCCAACTCCACCTTCGCAGACTTCCCAGTGGATTATCAGGGACCCAGTACAGCACTTCACAACGCCTCCCTCCGCCCCGCCCCCCTGAGAATTCAGGGAGAGTGTTCCTAGGCTTGTCCTCAGAAGATGAGAAATTAACTGGGGACACGGGAATGATTTGTAAATGGCATGCTGGAAACTCTAAAACCAGGACACTCCCTGCAAGCTCAAGGGAGCTGGAAAACTGGGGGAAAGAATCCTGAGTTGAACAAAGGCTGCCTCGGAGTCTGCCTGGGTCTCACAGTCACAGGACACACCTCATGCCCACAGAACTGTATCTGCGAATACAACTCTCAGAGACCAACACAGTCCCTGGAGGCCTCAGAACTCCTGTCAGGCTTGGGTTTTCTTCCTGTCAAAGCAAGCCACTCTCCCTGGACAGAACAACCTTGAAAAAGCAACTGCACTCTGGATGATTAGAGCCTCTACTCGCCTGCCAGTAAATCATTTTTTTAAACCAGGGCCATCCACCCAGCTGCACCCAGGGCACCATTATGCGGCCAAATCTCGTGACCTGTTTTTAGTCACTGCTCTTCCTGACCTTTCTGGGGCGATCCAAATGGTTAAACACTGCTTCCTTGGATGCTCCCATCCACTGGTTGCAACAATCTTATGTAAGACCCTTCCTCCTTTCTCTCTGACTGCTGGAGTAATTGTTCTAGAATGGGAAGATGCTCCAAAGTTACCCCCATTTAAATCTTACATTGGCTTCTAGTTCCTACAGGACAAAAACCAAACTAACAGCAAGGCATACAAGTATCTTCAAAGTTGGCCTCAAACATCCTGACTTTTCTTGTCTTGTTTCCTGAAACTTCCTCTCAGGTAACTTTCTATCTGTTCACTCTGTTTTTCCCTCTCCCACCGAGCCCTCCTCTCTCTCTCTCTCTCTCTCACTCACACACACACACACACACACACACACACACACACCTTCTTGTTATTATCGTAGCATTCCTTGCTTTTCCAAGTCTCTGTGACTTTGCCCATTCGCTTTCCTTCTCTGTCTTCCTTCTTCACCTGATGGGCTTAACCCATGTTGCAAAATCCTTCCTGGCCTACTGGACTGAAAATTCTATAAGGGCACAGACTTCTCTTGTCTTGCCTTTCACAGTTTCCTAGCACGGAACCTGGCACATTGCAGGCATGAAATGTATGTTTGCCACAGTAAGTCAGTGTTCCCAAATATTTAGTTGCATTGTCCTTCATGTTCCCACTGAAATTTCTTCCCATCTTAAACATGATAATTTTTATTTTATCCCTTAATTATATGGATGGGAATCACTCCTACCACAAGTGTTTTTTCCAGATCAGGGACCTTTTCTTAGCCATTTGCTTGGCACATAGTAGGCACCCAAGAACTTTTTATTGGATGAGGCAAGAAAATGTGGTAAATGGCCCTATGAGCATCGAAAGGTGGATTTTCGGCAGAACACCTATGCTCTCCCTCTTTTTCAGGGTGGCATTTCCATAACTTTACCAGCTCCAAAAGAGGTCTTTTAAATTCTGTCTCCTGGATTCCTGCTGTGACCCAATAGTTACAAAGCAGGCAAGGACTGATTTGGCACTTCACTCACAGCCTGCCTGAGGGATAAAGAGGCCTGTTCTAATCTAATAAAGGGCTGCTTCATGCGGCTTCATTTGCCCAGATTCTCTGCATTCTCCTGCCTACTCCCTTAAACACCCACCAGGAAATAACAGCAGCCTCCCAAGCCCGCAAGATAAACCCACTGGGATTACAGCCATTCCCCGTAATTGAGCAAACCACCTCTCGCAATGCCATACATTTTGCATTAAACACAGTGTATCGAATTAAAAATAAAACTCGAGTTGTTTGGTTAATGGTTTTCCCAGGCCTGAGGTTGAGACCAGACCGCTGATCCGTCCCTTCAAGAATGCCAGCTGGTTTTGCTGCTTGCCACAGTCACTGTTTAGCTATTATGTGCCACATGAAGCATTTTGATTCATTCTTAAACCTAATGTCCAATTAACTGAGAGAGGGGACTCATTAAATAATTTAAAGTAGATCCAAATTAAAGGGCAGTTTTCTCTATCATATTGCAAAGAAGTTCAATTTGGCTGAAGGACTTTATCATTTTAAGCCCGTGTTGGTTTGGGATCCTCTCTAATGGGGTAATCTTTAATCAGCTCCATTTGTATCTTTTTTTCATAGGTAGCAGACGGAAATCTTGCCTGTGACACCCGTAGACAACATTTTCTCCTTGACAATGTGTTTAAGCTTAATTCTTTGAAAAACTGTGTGAAAGCGTTTTGGTCATAATTACATGTTCCGCTTTTGCTTGAGAGGACCTGTTAGACTAGATGACGGGTCAGATTCACTGCCAAGATGCTCGAAAAAACCCCGAGTACCATCTGGAAAGCCGGTCGGTTGTAGACATCATTCATGTCAGTTTATTCTTAGCAGAGCTGGGAAAAGAACTCAGAACATTCGACTCGTGTTCCAGTCCTTCCCACCTCACTGCTTACTACTAGGCTAGGAAGACCCAGAGTCCAGAGCCTGGTCACAGGGAAAGCCATTTGGGGGTTCCGGCTAGTTCACCAGAACACACTGTTGGGCTAGGGAACACAAGAGCAGCAAACAGCTCTCCTGTTCCTGAAAGTTACTTTCTCTAAGTTTGCACGCAGTTCTTCAGGCCGATAAAAAACAAGTGAAGGTCACAGTTGTCTTTCAAGTCCAAGGCTCAACTCAGACCAACAGAGCTTCTAGAATAACTTCCACCCTGAATATTCCACTGTTCCTTTTTCCAAACAGTGGGTCCAAAGAGAAGTACATGCAAACAGTCCCTTCAGGGGGCTTTCCTCAGATGACCACCTGCAAAATACTCAAATCTCTGGGCCAAGGAGCTGCTCCCACAGGTAGCTCTTGTTCTGGGCACCCTTAATCCAGCTCTCCTCTTTCTTCACACAAAGCTAGGAGACAGCATAGGCCAAGGCAATCTGGCTCTATCTTCATGAGGCTCCACTCTGCTGCCGTTGCTGCTTTTTGGTGACTCTTCCTCACAGGGAGTGCTGGCAGTGTCTTTGGGCAGCTGCTCCTCGTGGGGAATCTTCTGTCAACCTCCTATTTGTCCTGTCCCCCACCCCAGTTGTCACGTGGGCAATTTCCAGCTGCTCCAGTCCATGATTTCTCTTTCCTCCTGGAATAGGTCTTTAACTTCCTAGTAGTTGAAAACCTTGTTTGTAGTCTCAGCACCACCTTTAGGGAATGGCTCCTCAGAGGGCCCACTCAGAGACTTCTATAAGTAGCTACGAAGCTCAACAACCCCTTTAACAACCTGGCAGGGACGACACACAATAACCTTTATAAAGAGGTGTATGGCTACACAGCATCTCTACATAGTCTCTATTTTCATTTTCAGAAAAG